TGTTCCACTTCCCATCTAGCTCCCTGATGTTGGCCTGGGAAAGCAGTTGAGGATAGCTCAAAGTCTTGGCACCCTGCATCCATGTGGGAGACCTGGAAGAGGCTCCTGGTTGCGATCTTGAAGATCCTGGCTTCAGGTCAGCTCAGCTTCGGCCATTGTGGCCATTTGAGTAATGAATCAGTGGATGGATGATCTTTCTGTTCCTCTGTGAATCTCCCCATGCAGTAAAAAATAAATCTTGAAAAAAATTAGGAAAAATCTCTGCTATAGTTTTCCATCATCACATCCTCATCTTACTGCAGCCCTCTGATGTTACCTCTCTGGTGTAGCTCTCCCCACCGCTCATCAAGCTGCCCTGCACCCTTGGCCTGAACCTTTTGGATATTCTCTCAGCCACTCCTTCACTTCCTCAGGTCTGCTCCAGTAGTACTGCTTCAGGGAAGCCTTCCTTGACCACTTTACTTCCAGGAAACTGGCTTTCCATTTCCCATTTCTAGCCCTTCCACATTCCCTCATCCCCTCTCTTTTGACCTACTATTGCTGCCCTGACTGGCGCTGACATATTCTGTATTGACTGGCGCATATCATCCCGTTAGAATGTACTGAGAGGAGGAACTTGAGGTTTTCTGTGTCTCCATTCTCAGGGCCTAACACAGAGCAGGTGCTTGACAAATACTGACTAAATACGAGAGCAAGCACTCATACGTTAGGTGGAACCCATCCTCTTCAGGAAAGCTGGGCTGGACGCCAGGCCGGAAGTCCTCTGTCTTGAGGCTCGCACAGCTTTTCATCCTTGAGTCCTTGGTTACTCTTCTTGGTAATGCTGAACTTGGCAGCTTTTACTATTCAGGCTGGCTTTTCCAGGAGAAGAGCGTTAAAGTGACTTTCCTGGCTCACACCATGACTCTACAGCGCAAGTCTGGTGAGAAATAGTTAATATCTACAATGAACAAGAAGAAAGAATTATTTCAAATCTTTGACAAATCTTACTTTTTTAACAAATATTTTTCTGTTTCTGGGCTCATCATCACAGTTTTGTTACGAATGCATATAATTTTTCAAAGCTTATTTTGGCATTGGCAAGGTAAATTTACTTTGGTGTTCAAAAGTTTGGAAATCCATAGATAGTTTTTTCATGACACATTTCCACAATTTTTTGAAGACTGCTAATTTTTCCCTCTGTTCATGAAAGTGAATTCTCCAATCAGATTGCCACATTGTTCTGTGGGGGAAATATAGGGTAATTGTGACAGGCTAGGAAATTGTAGTTGGAAAAGGCAGGTGAAATGTTGAGGCCTGCTATCTAAAAAACCTAATGCTGTATCATCAAAATAATTGACCAAATATTTTGTCTTTCCTAATGTACACCTAAATTATATAAGCAACTTCTTTATACTCTGCACAAAATCAAAGAAATCCATGTAGCTACTGCATATTTAACAGGGGGAAATTTTGAGATCCTTAGGGCTGGCCTGGTGGCACAGCGAGCTAATCCTCTGCCTGCTAGGGATGGGAAAAAAACTCCTGGCTCCCAGCTTTGGATCATCTCAGCTCTGATGGTTGCAGTCATTTAGAGGGGTGAACCAGAAGATGGTAAACCTCTTTCTCTGTTTCTCCTTCGCTTTCTGTACAACCCACCTTTCAAATAAAAATAAATAAATAAATCTTTAAAAAAATTAAGGTCCTATGCAGTGGCTCAACAGGCTTTTCCACCTGAAAAGCAATATTCTATATGGGTGCCTGTTTGTGTTCCAGCTACTCCATTTCCCATCGAGTTGCTTGCTTATGGCTTGGAAAATCAGTGATAGATTGATGGCCCAAAGCCTTGGGACTCTGCACTCTTGTGAGAGACCTGAAAGAAGCTTCTGGCTGCTGACTTAGGATCAGTTCAGCTCTGGTCACTAGGGTGGGTCATTCAGGGAGTGAACAAGGGTATGGGAGATTTTTTTCTCATTGTCTCTCCTTCTCTCTGTAAATCTGCCTTTCCAATAAAAAAAATAAATCTTAAAAGAAATTGAACTATTCATTATGGCAAAAACATTTTTTTTTTTCAGTTGGTATCTAGACTACATTTCCCAGAAATTTTCATAAGGAACTTGCCCAAAGCAAGAGAGTTTCTCTACTCACGTTACACCCATCTGGAGTGGTGTTAGCTGGTGAACAATTTTTCCGAGCATCAGAGAGCAGATGATTGGCTGTTTTATTATAATATGAATTGCAACAAATGAGAATTACAAGTATTAAACCAAATTATCCTAAAGAAATCAGTAATTTTGTTTTGGGAAAATAATTTTTTTGTTTCAGTTTCAAAATCAATTTTTGTTGCAATAGAGAACAGCTTAGTGCTTGCAGGGACTAGGGAGGATGGTGGGGAAGAAGTTGGCTTTCGCAGACCAAGGTTAGCACAGCAGTCCTTGAGACAGTGTTTCTTGACTGTTTCTATGGTCACAGAAAGCCACACTGTTGTGGGGTGCTAGTGAATCATACCAGACATGTCTAAGACTTATTAAGGAGTCTTTATTAACCAAGTTTGGTGATAACAGGGCCCACTAGAAATAGCAAATCACAAGTCCATATGACAATTCAATCAATTGTATCCCCAAGAGGAACAAATGGTTATTACCCTGAATCCATCTGTTAAGCTGAAGACATATGTCCCAGCTTCCCCAACAATATAAGTTATCCTAAGAGAAATGAAATGAACAACCTGGACACACTTACAAAGCTGCAGACATTCACCTTTCCCTGGCTTCTCTGCCTACATTCCACTACTACATTCCACTACTCCGGATAGTACACAAATAAGAAATACAAAGCATTTTAGCATTGCTACCTTCATTGTCCCACCCAAGCAGTAAACAGAGGATGAGGAATACAGACACAGAGGCCATGCTCAGGGGATGCCTGTCCTCAGAGGTACTGGGGAGGCCAAGAGTTGAAGTGCCAGAGCAAGAGAAGCACAGGACCAAGAGAGTGAGCCCTTCCTTTTCATGGGTCTTTATTGGGGCTTGTGAGGAAAGTGGTTACACAACAATGCAATACTGCCCCTTCTCAGGTGATAGGTGAGAGTCACAGGTGGGCAGAAGGGAACACCTAGATGGTGGGGGAGTGGCTTTCAAGTTCATAACCCTGAACTAGCTGCCTACCTCACCACAACACATGTGAGAAACTGCATAGAACTAAATATATACACACAAATAAGTGCATGTAAACTGATGATAACTGAACATGTTGGGTGGATTGTGTCAATGCCAGTTTCCTGGTTGTGATACTAATATGTTGTATGATGCTACCACTGGGGGAACTTGATACACAGTATATATCTGGTATTATTTCGTAGAACAAACACTAATGAATAGATACAACTGATATTGTATCTGGAATATCTATCTAAAGATGATTTGGTAATGCATTAAAAGTTAATATATGCTTATTGTGTGACTCAGCAATTCTATTTCTAGAGAGATCAAAACTTAAACCCACACCAAAACTGTACATAGATAGATGTATGTAGCTCTACGTAGTTCTTAGTTGGAAACAACTTAAATGATCTGTCAAAAATACAGTGATATATTCATACAAGAGAATACTTACTACCCAGCAATGAAAAAAGAAAAATGCAACATGCAACAACTTGAATGAATGCCAAAGACATTCCACTGAGTGAAAGAAGCCAATTTCAAAAAGTTACATGCCATATGATTTTATTTATATGACATTCCTGAAAAGCCTTAAGTGTAGTCATGGAGTTATTCACAAACAGTAGAATGAGGGAAGGGTGTGGCTACAGAGGCACAAGGCGATGTTACTATTTATTTCCTGAAAATAGTGATGGTTGCAGGAATGATTACATATTCAGGTACCTCAACAAGTTTGTGGAAAATAGAATTACAAGGAGTTTATTTTGTTGTAAAAAAATTTGAAATCCATAACATACATTTCCACCTTCTGAAAGTCTTTCATATGTTGAAATTTACAAAACTGTGCACTAAAATTTAAGTTAATTTTCTGCATGTTAATTTTGAGAATAAAGTAAAATTCTTTTTAAAAATTATTTCTAAATTTTAAAAATATTTCTAAATATTTTTCAATTTAGTTCTAAATTTAAATTTTATAATTAATTCACTTAAAGAGGCTACTTAGAATTAGTTGCTTTGGCATGAGTCCAGAAAGAATACCACATATTTCAATTTGCAGTGTAGTATGGAACTCACAGAGTGTAATACAAACATTTCCTAACTAAAATTTGAACTAAGTAAAAGGGGAAACAATTATTTTAGTGTCAAAAATGCTCAGTAAACACCAAATAAATTTAATTTTAGTGGTATTTCCCAAGTTATAATTGCAGATAACACGCTGAATAAGGGTCTGCTTTTTTTTGTAGCATAAAAAGCAGATTCGTTTTGCTATCTCATGAATGGTGGTTATAAGAGTTGTTAAATAATAAGTAAAAGGGGTAAATGACATAAAAATATACCAAAAGCACAATTTAAAGCTTCAATGAAAATATCAAAAAACAAACATGACATTCGCTTACATTAAGGATGATAATGTATTAGGATCAAGTAAATTATTGTTTCTGTAGAAATAAGAAAGTATTCATTATTAACTTACTTCACAACATTTACATAAATAATCCAACATAAAATAGTCTTTAAGAAACATCCTTAAATGTGTCTCAAAGGCATACAGATTTTTTTGGTTGTTTTTTTTTGGGGGGGGGGAGAAAGGGACACATAGTTTTTAAAATATGTATCCTAAGTGCAGCATTCAAGTTAGGGAAATGATGACTTCTAAAGTTTAAGAATGTGTAGTTATTTTTTTAAACATACAGGTTTTGGTCGCATCAGTGATGACACTGACTCTTCAAGGAAGCACAGGAAGTCAGCCTGTCTGTGAAGGCACTCCGATCTTCGTTGGCTTCCAGATGGCTGTTGCATTGAATCCAGTCAACACTGAGATTCCAGAAATGACACAATTCTGCATATTTAGAAGTTGTTTCATAGCTTATGGAACATTGGTCCCACAGTAGCTGTAATATCTGCATAAGGAGCACTCTGGCTCAGTTTAATAGCCTGCTGTTTTTTTAGGACAAGAAAGCCATAAAATTTGGCAGCTGCTTGTTTTCGGTTACAATTTCTGCAGAGTTTCATCAGACTAAAGGACTCCATTCCCATCTTTTTGTATTCCTGGGAAAATAAAAAATTAAAAAAGGAAAGAAGAACAAGACCATCAGAAACAAAGCAGGCACTAGATGCATGAAGAACAACATATTGACATTTCCCATAAGCAATTATGAAATCTTTAATTGGAGAAATGCACTGTTTAAACTTATAAAAATAACATGGATCACTGAACACAAGCTTGATCCATTGAGAAAATGCATGCAAAAGATCTCTAAAGTTTTATACAAACATATCATGTGTCACACAAATGTTGGAATCTCTCTTGTTGGGAAGTATTGAGAGTTAAGATCTGCACTGAGAAACAGAGTGCACAGGACTTTGGGAGGCTTCAAACACAACAAAAACGACCAGCCTATCAGGGGCTTGGTGGTGACTATAAACAATTCCAGTGATAGACAAAGTCTATGTCTGTGTTTGAGTGGAAGGAGAATATAACTGTATCAACATCTATCAGTTTATTTGTACAAGTGAACAGATGCTGGGTTCACCATATGCCCCCGTATGCCTTCTAGAAATAATTGAGGTATGTCAAAGATGAGGATCATTCCTTTCATAGAAACTAGGATTTGAAATAAAATTCTTACAGAAGCAGAGTGTTTCAAGTTAGAAATAGTGTGATAAACACTGGCCAGTATCTCCTTCAACAGTTTGACATATTTTATGTTTCTACCAGACCATAGCACTGAACAAATTAATACTAAATACTTTATTGTACTTTATCTCAAACAAAGGTTCAAAACTTTTATGTACTTTATCTTTGGTCAGCAACCTCTCAGAGATGGTGTAGCCAAGCCTCTTTTTATTCCCTTCCTTGAAACAAGCTGTGGATTGGCCTGGAAGACTGCAGAGAGGGCCTTTTCCAGCAACTCTTTTGAAGAACATTAAGGGGACAAGTATGCAAAACTGAACCTATGCTCTAATTTTTGTCTCATTTAGAAACCCCTCTAAAACGAAGGTAAAGTAATAAAAAGTATGGCCTGGCACTTCAGACTAAGCCTCGGCCTACCGTACCGGCATCCCATATGGGCAGCAGTTCCAGTCCTGATTGCTCCATTCCTGATCCAGTTCCTTATTGGTGGCCTGGCAAGCAGTAAAGTCTGGCCCAAGTGGTTGGGCCCCTGCACTCATATGAGACCTGGAGAAAGCTCCAGGCTGCTGGCTTTGGCCCTGGCCCAGCTGTGGGTGCTGTGCCATTTAGGGAGTAAAATAGTGAGTGAAAGATCTTTCCTTTCTCTGTCTCTTTCTCTGAAATTCTCCCTTTCAAATAAAAATAGATAAATGCTTAAAGCAGTTTTTTCCCTGTATCTGGGGTCAGGGGAGAAACAAAGGGAGAAGCCCCACCCAGCCTCCCACCCATCCCAGGTCCCCGATGTGAGGCATGCTCCAAAGGTCCTGCTCAAGCATAAAACGATTTTTATAAAAGAAAATATGAAAAAGAGAGAGAGAGAGAGAGCAAAAGAAGAAGATAAAGAAAGTAAATGTGATTGACATAGTGGAGTTGCAAAAGTTGAAACCTAAGGTCCAGCAGGGAGGAAAGGTAATGGAAAACCCAAGAATTTGGGATACAAATCCTTGGAAAAGCCCCGGATTGGAGAGATCAGTCTGACTGCTTGAGAGAATCCAGAGCTTCTGTTTACACCACCACATGCACACAGTAGGAGGCAAGGAGATGGCACCCACCAAGACTCTACACAGGCACACAGGGAAGAAGAGCACCCACCGAGTCTCAGCGCAGGCACACAGAGAGCACCCACTGAGACTCTGCGCAGGCACACAAGGAAGGAGAGCACCCACTGCGGTCCGCACAGGCACACGGGGAAGAAGAGCACCCACCGAGGCTCCGTGCAGGCACACGGGCACTGTGGAAGGTGAGCAGTGTCTTGCCACAAATAGCCATTAGTAAAGTTCTATACAGTCAACAGTGAGATAGACAGCCTCTCCCCTGTCTCCTTTTGGTTTCTGAGCCAATGTCCCCATGCTTGGATGGCCAGGGCAGTAGATTTAAAGGTGCATCTGAGAAGATGGACCAATCAAAGGATAAAAACCTTTGGTAATGACATCAGGAAAAGGATTGGGAGTGGGGAGGGCATACCACCTGGTGACTAGAAGTATATGTAAACCCCATCCATGCACAAATAATCCTTTTTTATGACATTCACTCTTTTTTTTTAAAGATTTATTTAATCTTATTGTAAAGTCAGATATATAGAGAAGAGGATAGACAGAGAGGAAGATCTTCCGACTGTTAATTCACTCTCCAAGCAACCACAATGGCCAGAGCTGTGCCGATCTGAAGGCAGGAGCCAGGAACCTCTTCCGGATCTCCCATGCAGGTGCAGGGTCCCAAAGCTTTGGGCCGTCCTCGACTGCTTTCCCAGGCCACAAGCAGGAGCTGGATGGAAAACAGGCCTGCCGGGACTGATACCCATATGAGATCCCAGTGTTTGTGCAAAGTGAGGACTTTAGCTGCTAGGTTATTGAGCTGGGTCTGACATCGACTTTTTAATAAAAATAGATAACTAAGGCTCCACTAGACATTTGAGTAAAATCTCTAACATTAAAATATATACATAATATAAAAATATAAAACAAAATATATTAATATAACAAATATATTTTAAAAAGCATTTCAGGGAATCACTAAGGAAATAAGGCAGGAGGAGTTTTCGTTGCATCTGTGAACAATAATCAGGATGCTGGTTAGGAAAGGCAGCTCTGTGCTTGGAGTGGTGGAGGCAGTGGGAGGAACACATCAGTGCTTTTCAAGTGGCAAGGGGAGCGGGAAGAAAGTCGCACAGGGAGTTCAGGATTTGAAATTTGTTCGCTTTTAGGATTCATTCATGCCATGCTATAGGTGTATGCATTTGTCAAAACTTCCCTAACTGTATACTGTACTCGACTATATAGAGTTTGTTGTATATTAATCATACCTCTAAAGCCATTTTTAAAAATGAATAATTATGTAAAAAGATTAGAATATTACAAAATAATAACAAGTTATATATATGAATAGTTAATAACTAAGTGGAAAACTCTGGAAAACAAAATAAATACAAATTTTATGAAATACATTTTATTTTTTAGAATAAAGATTGCATGAATAAAGTTGCATAAAGACCAAAAGGCAAAGTTGAGGAAATCTTTTGGGTAGTATATAAATACAAAGATAAAAAAATAATAAAATATTTTAAATTAAAAATATAGGAAAAGTATAGGGAATATTTTAAATTAAAAGAGCAGTTAAAAACAGACTACAGAAGTCGATAGACATAAATATTGGTTCGAAATTGATTTGAATATGCATATACCAAACCTAAAATCCTGTATTTAACTCTGTGTGTATCATTCAAAATCATCTCATTTGAGTGGAATTTGGCCTCAATAAAAAATAAGAAAAATAGTCTTGTTTTCATAAATACTTAGATACTTGAAGTCAATATTTTAATCATTTATTTATTTTAATCAGCAAGCCCTACCACCTTACCCGTAAAGTATTTAACATCTGAAGCATTCTTCGATTGCTTCTCTCTATGTCAATACTTTGTTCATTCCCCGATGAGTCCTGTTGGGATGGTGATAAAATATTTAAGTAAAATTTACTGAATGCTTACTATTTGCTAAGTACTGTCTTAGCTGTTATAAGAAATATGACTATAATACTTGGTTCTGCCAAATAAACAGCTTTTAATCTGATAATGGTCTGATAAATTAACATAGCCTAACCTTTGTAGAGTTACACCTACATTCCTAGGTAGTTTCTGAGAAAAGTACAAGATTCTGCAGGTTTTTTGTTTGTTTGTTTTTCATTGATAATATGTCCCAGGGTAATATGTGCCCTTAGGACTTTGGAAATTAAATTTGGCCAAGAACCTCTTGCAACTAGGACAACCTTAGTTCTGATCAGTTTGAACTCAGCCAATAGGAGTAAATACAAAGATATAGAAAAACTGCCTTATTAATGCTTTGTCTGAACTTACCTGGTGATCTAGAAGCTCCATTGTTTGTGTACAATTGTGTTAGGAACCTTTTGGATTTCAAGGATACCTTGAAAAAGGACCTGTCATATTATCCAAATAGATTCATCCTCTTGTCTTAAAAAATTTAATTACTTTTCAGAAACACCTCTATATTTTGAAAGTGTAAAGCTGAAATTCCTTTGCAAGAACTCACTCTAACTCCCCACTACTTAATACCTTATTAGCTGAGAACAGAAACTGGGCATGGGAAAGGTGTTGATGAATCTGATAAAGGAGCAGGTTTACAAAGGACTGGGAAGGGGGGAGTGATGCAAGCCTGACCTACTTTATCATTTTTTCTAGGCTAACTCTTCCTATGCAGCCCAACATCATAGGGTAGCTGTATGCTACCCTATGATGTGCTGATTCTTTTGGCCTTCGTGGATAGCTCTGCAAGTCAACACATTTCCTAATTCTGAAAGATTCAACATGGTATCTGAAATCCTGTGAGGCTAAGGGATGCTAACTCAGTACAGAAACTCCTAGATTCTCAATTCCACCAGATGTACCTGATTCCTGATCTTGCCTATGTAGTATCCCCTTTTTTAAGTTTAGAAGGAATTGATTTGAAAATCTGTTTACCTTCTGCTGAAGAATTTTTCAAATCCCTCCAGTAATAATTCATGTTTATCCACTTCCGGTCTGTCTGTCTTTGGATAAATGAGTTCACCCACTTAAGTAATGTTTTTTTAAATTAAATATACAAATGCTATTTTTTGAAATGTATAAAGCTCTTTGTTAAAGACCTGTGAGACCACTGCTTCATCAATACCACAAAACTAAACCAGAAAAAAAAAAAAAAGCTTAAGAAATGGTCTGTGTGTGTTGCTAAATAAATCCTGTCCACTTGATCTATCTGGAAATTGTACAAGTGAATCCATTGTGTGGAAAGCCCAGTGGATTATTAAAACAGCTGAACTTTGCTCTGTTGTTTGCTTGACCACATATGGAAACAATCTGGGGCTACGGAAGCAAAGAGAATGGTGAAAATGAATCAATTGGTCTTTGTCTCAGCTGCTTGGATGTTTCCAGGTTAAGAAGTTCAGGTTCTTTATTGGCTCTGAGTATATCCAGAAAATTCAGTTTGTTTCTATGAATGAAAAAATAATAATAGTCTTGGAGCTTATTACAAAAATAATTCCTTCAGGGTCCCGGCGTGGTAGCCTAGCGGCTAAAGTCCTCGCCTTGCACATACCAGGATCCCATATGGTCGCCAGTTCTAATCCCAGTGGCCCTGTTTCCTATTCAGTTCCCTGCTTGTGGCCTGGGAAAGCAGTTGAGGATGGCCCAAAGCCTTGGGACCCTGCACCTGTGTGGGAGACCAAGAAGAAGCTCCTGGCTCCTGGCTTCAGATTGGCTCAGCTCCAGCGGCCATTATAGCCTCTTGGGGAATGAATCAGCAGTCAGCAGATCTTCCTCTCTGTCTCTCCTCCGCTCTGTATATCTGACTTTCCAATAAAAATAAATACATCTTTTAAAAAACACAATAATTCATTCAAAAACAAATTAGCACCATTAGCAGGCATTAAGCATGCTTTGATATTAGTTACTGGAAAAGTTTTACTAAAAACTTTTACAATTCTAAAGTGCTTTCTGAACTGTGGGTCAAGTTCCAGAGAAATAAGGTGGTAACACAGAGGGAGTCAGGTGAGTAAGATTTTATGTCTGACTTTTCTATCAACATATGGCCCAAGAGAAGACTACTGGTTTCCAAATGTCTTGTATACATAAAGGCATTGAGCCATTTAATGTTAAGGGAAAAAAAAATACCCACACTGTTTTTGTAAATGAAATAAAATTTGAAATATCCTAGACATAAACTTTTGACTCTCTAGATATAAGAATAAATTAAAACAGCAGTTTCCAACATTTTAAAACTTTCACTACCTTTGATGAACATAAAACTCAACATTGTCCTTTAGAATTTTATAAAGTTCTTAAAAATAAAAAATTTATAAAGTTTCAAAAGAAATGCAAAAAAAGGAGAGATTCTGAATGCTTTATTGAACATCTTTGCTGTGATCATAAATTAAATTATAAATTTAAGAAGTCACATGACATCTCTAGCCAATTTTTCGGTATATAAGAGCTTATTTAGGAACAAAATTTTAAAGAACATTCCCAAGACTAGACTTATACTTACCAATTCAACTGAACAATTTTCAATTTCCTCTGCCATGAAACCATTCATCAAAAATGATTCCTCAGCAGTTGATGAAATCATTTCAACAACATCCTGCAAAAGCAAGTCAGAAGGAAGATAGACAATTTTGCTAGTGGTTATCATAATCCAATTTTGCTAAATGCTTTAATCATATGAAAATTCTATTCTCAAACAACTTAAAACCAGTTAAAATATTACCACATTCTTTAGGTTTTATTTTGGAAACATCCCAATAGGCAATCCTGACTTGAATATGCCTGTTTTCTCTTTGCCTCCCACCAGCAAAAAATTGGCATGCCTGTCCCTCCTTTCTTGCTTTCCTTCTTTCTGTCTCCCTCTCCACAGCAGGCCTCACATCTACAGTCTCCACCACTGTGCTGCTGAGACCGCTTTCCTCCAAGGTCTTTTATCTAGCCCCTATGTTCCACCTCTTCTCAGGCCAGGGGCAGGTGGCAGAGGGAAGAGCTCTGCAATAGGCAAGCAGAACCATGCAGCACTGCTGCCACCTCTGCTGGAGCTTTCACCAACAAAAGGGAAGAAAAAAACTATGTCCTCTAGAAGGGAGGACATAAACGGAAACAGAAAGTCAGAATACTCCATTCCCATAATTTCCTTCCTTTTTCATTACTCTAAAAGCCACTGGGCCTTTTCTTCAATCCTTCCCCAAACTTAATCCCCCAGCTAAATCTCTGACCTGAAGAGATTCTTTCAACATAGTTTTTTTCATTTCTGTTTTAAAAAAATTTAGAGGGCCCGGCGCGGTGGCACAAGTGGTTAAAGTCCTCGCCTTGCACGCCCGGGATCCCATATGGGCGCCAGTTCTAATCCCGGCAGCCCCGCTTCCCTTCCAGCTCCTTGCCTGTGGCCCGGGAAAGCAGTCGAGGACAGCCCAAAGCTTTGGGACCCTGCACCCGCGTGGGAGACCCGGAAGAGGCTCCTGGCTTCGGATTGGCATAGCATCAGCCCGTTGTGCTCACTTGGGGAGTGAATCATCGGATGGAAGATCTTCCTCTCTGTCTCTCCTCTCTGTATATCTGCCTTTCCAATAAAAATAAATCTTAGAGACACATCTTATTGTTTAACATACATTATTTATGAAACCTTATGTTTTTGTTTTTTAATTTCTGCCAATTGTCTTTTACTTTAAGTTTCATAATGATTATAAAATGATTATTCAGAGTCAATACTTGGTTTTTTCAAACTTGCTACTTGACTATTTTTCACGTTTGTTCATTTTATTTGGAAGCAAAATAAGAATAGATTTGAAGGATAAAGCATACATATGGTAAAGGAGTAAAGATTCAAAAGAATAGTTACATCTGTCTGTTTCTACTTCAAGTACATGAGAAAAATATATTTTGTTAGAGTGTCTACAAATAACTCAGTTGTAGTTCCCTTCCAAATAAGAATAAACTAGACAAGTTAGCCTAATCATAATTTTTAGTAGGCACACTCTAATAAATGACTAAACCCAAATAAGGAAGAGAGTAATACTTTCAAGTACACTTCCTAGCATACTATCAAACATTTAATAAAACACATTCAATGAGGTTGTTTTTCTTTTCCAGGTCATTCAGTTTCAATGTAGGTTGGCTTTAAATTTCCAGAGTGATTTTCCAAATACAGTGACAATGCTATACACTAGAAAAGCACTGGCTCATTTTTATGGTATGATTATATTTATATATAAACAATATAAACAATAATGTGACATCAGAAAAAGTATTTTAAAGCACATTGTTTCCAACTACATTTTTCAAATAGTTACATTGTTTAAGTAAATATGTCTTCAAAGAAAGAGTTTTTAGAAATTGTTTTGATCATAGGTCCTTGGATAGTCTCAGGTAATTGGTGGATCTTAAAAGATATTCGAGTTAGGAAAGATAAGTTCATGATCAAGGCAAAACAGAAGTCTATTGGCTGAAAGATTCCATGTCATGTTCAAGATGGAGCCTACTAGGTTTCTCAGCATATAACCAGGCTCAGGTAAAGTTTTAATTGTTTATTTAATGTAACATGTAAAGTATAGTAGTCACATAAATACTGTCCTACCTAATATATTATGAAAAAAACACTGATCCTACCTTATGATCTACTAGCGCAAACTTCTAGAAACTACTGTTCTATAGAATAACACAATGTTTCACTCTACAATGCTCTGCTTACTAAAAAAATTATAGAACAGAAAATGAAATGTGAACTATAAATGCAAAAATATATACCAGCATTTGTATTCCTACACTAAGTGGTGTCAAAATAATTCAATGATTTTCTGTTGATAACTCACCTCAGAGCTCATGTTTTTACTGATGTGTTCATGAAAGCTACTCTTAGATCCATTAATCACATCCTTTCCAGTTCGGGACTGAATTAACTCTGGTTTGGAATCTGGGTCTTCCATCCTGAAGGTTTCTGAATTATCAAAGAAGTAAAGAATATTTCATCAAAATATCTTTCAAAATGAAACTGTGATATGATTGTTAAAAAACAGGGTGTCTGACAACTTGGAACCCAGGAGCTCCAAGTCTTACATACTTATTTTCTTTTTCTCCTGTCTCTATCACCTCCATTTCCCACCCTCTGCCAACTGGTTCCTGCTCCACACATGCACATTCACTCTCAACCCATTTTCATGTTACTCTTCAACAGATTTTAATGTCTTCAGGAACAGTGAATGAGGGCCCACTAACTATGTTAGTCAGTGTTATAATTACTTTATGATTTTACAGCAATAATCAATTATTATTAATACTTTATGTACCCTCTGAGTGGATGGAGATATTCACCATCACAAGTTAATTTTATTTGCTAAGTGATTTTTCATGTTAGTTATTTTAAAAGATTATCCAGCTAGATACAAAGAGTTTTCTTTTTGGGAGAATTTATGGGCACTGCCTTTGGAGACAGAGGAGGTAGGAATAAGAATGATTCACATGGTATATATATTTCATTTTAAAAATGAAGTATTTAGGGCAAAAGCAGAGAGATTCAGTACTAAAGCAATAATCTCTTTCCAGTTCAAATACTGTTTTAGAGAAACCATTTATATTTGGATACGGATGGGAAAGCTGTCCTGTCAAGAGCCATCTGGATATCTGTAACATCATTCGTGGCCTATACAAAATTATCAACTTAAAAATTATCCCATTATGGATCTGCTGAATTTTGAGTGCTGTGTGCAATTGCCTCGGCAGGGCTGGACCAGATAATTTCATGGCCCTTATACAGCTCAGAGGATGGATGTTCCCCACCCCTGGAAAGGATTCAATCCCATCTTCACTTTGAAATGTAAAATAAATTTTTCCCCATAACTTTTCCCTCAACATCAAGGGATTAGGAAGTCTCACCTACAACGTCTGGGCCTTCCACTTCCTCTCTTACTGACACTTTCTGCATCAATTTTCTTCCGAGTTTAGAGCCGGAGGACAGAAAGCACTTTGTGAACAACTGAAAAAATACACACATTTTGTTTTTTTGGTTTCTATAAAGCAATTCAATAGAAAGCACATATGCTAAAAAGTAGAAACCACAATCCATATATGCATATTTAGTAAACTAATTCAAAAATGAAGTAATATTTTTTCACAAGTTTAATTTCTATGATACATGTATGTAAATATGCATTTATTTAAGTATGACCAAATACTATGTCCCTATAAAGGGATGAAAACTTTTACCATTTTCAGTTCAGCATGAATTAAATCCTGGGCGGCAGTTGACAAAAGCGTGTCCACTCTTCCCTTCTTCTTCCACATCATTAATCTTTGGGTAGGAGGTGCAAGTTCCAAAACCATGAGTGTGTCCACAAAGGAAGTAAGTTGCTTATGCATATTTTTGCTGCTGATCTCCTTGACAGGATCTATTAGCAGTCTCCTCTTTTTGCCTTTTCTTTTCTCAGCAATGTCTAAATGTAAGACATAGGCATCAATGTAATTGGTCTTACAGTTCCATAAAGCAATAGTCTAGGTGTTGCATGCACATCCAAGAAATGTCTACCACATTAAATCTACAGAGTTGTATCAGCAAGGAAATCCCTTTTCTCTTGCCCTTTTCTTTTTTATTCTACAGCTAGAGTACCTGAGAAGCCAATAGCTATTCCATTTTATTAAGTGTTATTCAAAAGTGCTTAGGAGAAGCTTTGTTGACCTGTTAAGTGGGCAAATAAGAAAATGTGGGGCAAAGTCTCTGTCCTGAGAGAAAGTCAACCAATAACCTTCTAAAACATTTTTATTTGTTCAATGTATTTTCCATTCCTGGAAGCTAGGTCCATAGGTCTAAAAGGAATAATTCTTTAGGAAATTTTAGCAGGTAGAAAACAGAAGTCCAGCTTTTCTTTAGTAAAGCTGCAAAGGCAGAGGCCAGGATTTAAATTTTCCAGAATGGGTGAAGATCTGAGATCAGATGAGCCAGAAGGAACAGGGACCTGCTTGCTGATGGGCATCAGAAACTCCTAGGAATGTGACAGAATCCCAGAGAGGCTGGCTAGGTGATGATTACAGAGGTTGCTTAGGCTCGAACACCACAAACTCCTGGGTTCCTTTGCACTTTCTGTATCCCTCTGGAAACTTTGGTACCACATATCTTAGAATGGAAGGGGGAGCTATGCAGATTGAATTCTGTCAATTTATAGTATAGAGGCTCAGAGCTGATTCCATGAAGAAAAAAAAATTGAAATATTTCATACCTTGCATGATTGAGTTTTATAAATGGAAATTTGCATCAATTATACTACTTAAAATCACTTAAAGGACCTAATTACTTCTCAAACTCATGGTTTATTCCTAAAAACACGCTTGAAGTTCAGTATCAGAAGCATAATGTCTCTTAAGATCCTATTTATTCTGCCTTCTATTTTACTAATTAGACTAACCTTTTTTATAAAGCAGAAACTGTTAGCTTTTTCATTCCTGCACCCATCATTGAATAATGTGTTAATAACTTATCTTAAAAATATTTATTTACTTTTAATGGAAAGACAGGTTTACAGAGGGGAGGAGTGACAGAGAAAGATCTTCCATCTGCTGGTTCACTTCCCAAATAGCTGCAATGATTGAAGCTGAGTCAATCCAAAGCCAGGAGCCAGGAGCTGTTTCCAGGTCTCCCACATCGGTTACAGGATCTCAAGGCTTTGGGCTGTCCTTCACTGCTTTCTCAGGCTATAGGCAGGGAGTTGGATGGGAAGTAGAGGAGCAGGACATTAACTTGCACCCATAGGGGATGCCAGTGTTTGCATGTGGAAGATTAGCTAATCGAACCACCCCACTTGCCCTCCATATAAGAACCAACAACTTAAAATGAACTCAGTTTTATTTTTTTACACTTCTAGCACCAGATATATAGTTTGAATAGTACTGAATTTGATGAACAAATCATCTCAAAAGTTATTCACACTATTCTCTGATTGTAAAATGATTTCATAGATTATAGATTATAGTATTTCATAGATTATTCAGATATCTTCAAGTAAGTTAGCAGTGTATCAAAAATAAAATAAAACCATGAATGCCTCTGACCTGAAAAATCAATTGGGTCAAGGATAAACCTTTCTTCTTCACTTGATAACAATGTTGATTCATTCCTTTTTTCATTTTCAGGTAGGCGTACATGCTCTGGATCATCTGGTTTTATTAATCAAGATCGCCATGAAAATAATTATTAAAAAATCATGATTATGTTGTAAACTAGGCATTACATGAGAAGTAAAGTAAAAGATGAATTAATGAATGATTCGTATGACATCAAATTCTTCTAATCATATTCAGCAGAGATAAAAAGATTCAGACTACATGATCTGGAATCCATAATATTTAGGTCTACCAAGTATTATCATTCCCTTTTGCACATGCAACATCTAAGGCTGGGCTGTAGTCACAGTGGAAGTAAAGATGAATAATAGCAATTGCAATAAGCGACTGACATAAACATTTTATATTCTGTTAAATTACTCATAAAAACACAACTAAATTTTTACTGCCTAATTCTCTTAGTTTTAATTTCTATTACCAGGTAATAAAGCAAATAGAACATTAAAAGTTGTCAAGAATCAAAAATGAGGCTAATTATACTTTTAACTAAGAAAAATCAAGCCAAAGACTTCATATGAAGTAGTGTCATATCAGTTTTAAGTAGGGAAGGTACATCCCCACATTTCGAATTGCTCAAACTGTACATAGATTCTGAAATCATACTACTATTTTTTTTTACCATGTAGCATATATTTTAATGACCTAAAAGCAATGTTTGGGCAGAGTATTTAAGTGTGCTCTCATACTAAATCCACTCTTAGTTAAATGCCCTTCATGATTTCTCTCAGAACCCTATTTTCTATTATGTATTGTAGAGATCCAGATTTTAAAAGGTGCACCATATTATACTACTATTTAAACTCAAAAGTTCTGGTACTTAATTTGAATATCAATATCTGTTCAATTTGTACACAACAGAAGATTTCAGCATACCCATTACAATATCAGAAGGCTCTGGAGGCAGGGTAATTTCTCTGCTCAATTGCCTGTCTTCTAACAGGATATTGTCATCATCTTGCAACAGATTGTCTTGAAAAACACAATGAATAGGTTTGTCAAACAGACATGATTCTATCATTTGTTCACTCATCATTTATTAACATCATACAAAGCACTGGGAAGGGAGGACAGACTTCTAATGTGGGTCAGATCATTTTTCTTTAAAGTCTGATATAGTCAATATAAATAGATATAAATAGTCAATAAACAATATGTAACACACATAAATAAATAAATAAATAAACAATATTTAACACACATAAATTTGGATTCCCAAATTTATATAAATATATATTATAAAGCTATACTGTAAATATAAAATGATAATATAAATCCTGGAAAACTTTGGGATCATTATGCCACAACTATGCTAAAGAAGACAGTGTTTTCTCCTATATTGTCCAGTATATTTTGTGAGGAAATACATAAGCCTCATTTTTTCTCCTCCAAGAATTAGGAATTTATAAAAATAGAAGCAGCAGGCAGTATATCCCAAACTCTAGGGAAAATGTATTTAAATGGCTGGCTATGTACTTACAAAAATACACCATAAACTTTGAAAACTTACATAAAAAATTGTTGACCTCCATGACACAGGAAATTTTAATATGAAGTAAGAAACTTAGTGATTTACACTTGTGATTTGATTATCTTAAATATTTTATTTCTGTGTGACATCATACCAATCATGTCTCCTGCATCTCCTTCATCTCCAAATGTGTCTCTACTGTCATAGAACAGAGATTTTTCTCCCATGAGACTTCCTGAACTATGTTCAGCTACAGGGCCACTGCAATTCAGTAACATGTTGTCATCAAAGAAGCTATGTCTTCTGAGAATTTCAGGTTCATCCCCTAAAAAAATGCACATCATTAACACTGTCAGTCATGGGAACACAGAATTTTAGAGTTTCAAGGAAATTCAGGTATCATATACTACAGTATTCCCTCATTTTAAAAATGTTTAAGATTTATTTATTTTTATTGTAATGTCAGATTCACAGAGAAAAGGAGAGACAGAGAGAAAGCTCTTCCATCTGCTGGTTCACTCCCCAAGTGGCTGCAGCAGTTGAAGCCAGGAACCTGGAGCTTCCTTCAGGTCTCCCACACACATGCAGGGTTCCAAGGCTTTGGGCCATTCTCTACTGCTTTCCCAGGCTACAAGCAGAGAGCTTGCAGTACCCATATAGGCTCCCGGGGCATGCAGGATAAGGATCCAGCCACTGAGCCATCATGCCAGGTCCATATCACTTCAGGTTTCCAAGCAGGATGGAAAGGTTGAACCACTCTCCAGGCCAAGCTTTGCAACATGTTTCTGGGCCTGGGATGCACTAAGGTGAACCCGATCTGCCAACAGCCTACCTTGGAAAAATTTTCTCATCCCTGGTGCAATGAAGCCAATGATGTCTCATAACTATTAGGATCACTCAAGTAACACCCTTGGGAAACTCTTCTCCACATTGAGGTCTCTAAGGCATCATAAAAGGACCATCCCCTATCTCTGGGTGCCAATGTGGTTTGATAGCAGAGAGTGGCCCCTTCCCCTTCCTCCACTGGGGACATAGGAGACAAAAAAAATCAAAACATTTATCCTACCCACCTTCCTCCATACCTTGACCCTCCCCATCCTAACTGGAGACCCACATGGGCTTATATCCTTCTCAACCATGTAAAAAATATTAAATTAAAAAACTTTTCCTCCATAAATATGCATTTAATTTTTTTGATGATGTTTACATAGTTGATTAGGATGGGAAGGGTCAAGACTCAGGAGAAAGTGGGTGAGACCATTGTTAAATTTTCTTTCTTTTCTTCTTATATCTGGGGGAAGGGGAGCAATAATGAGAGAAGCCACACCCAGCCTCCCAACTGCCTCAGTACCCAGGGATGGGGATGGCCACCTGATGTCAACCCACGGTCCCCGATGTAGAGCATTCTCTGAGGGGGGGTCTGCTCAAGTGGTTTTGTTAATTCTGAAGTGCTATACTTTAAAAATGATTTGTATGTAAAAGAAGAATTATATATTAAGAAGGAAAGGAAAACCATAACAATGAGTTTTAGTATTGACATGTACTAGGAAAAGGCAAGAAAACATTGATTGGGGGCTAATGTATACATTAAAATATTGACTATATAGATAATACTACTGGCATTGCTTCAATATAGAATTAATTCATCATATTGTATATAATTTATTATATTTATATTTTAATTATCACTTTGATTTCTCAAATATTCTTACCAAAGCTCTCAGCTTGGAAAAGTAGACTATTGTCATAATCTTCCCTAAGTGTAATTTCTTCTGGTTTACTCTGGTTCTGAGTAAATTGTTCTGAAATATCAATAGCACTGTGGAGAAGCATAAGAAATGTAAGATTAAGGAAAATATGTAAACAGAATACAATGATTTTGAAGTATAAGAAAAAATGAAAAACAGATTTTATTATAAAAAGAATTTTCTCAATAGTATTACTTATTAACACTGGTTTGAGATAAACACACATTGCCAAATGCTTCTTAGTCCTTACTGCACTATCCAACATCATTTGAAATGGATGTTCTCTCCTGATATGGACTGAATGTTTCTGTCCTACCAAAGTTCACAGTTGAAATCTAACCATGAAGGCGAAGATATTAGAAGGCAGGGGCTCTGGGAGTCATGAAGGCAGAGCTCTATGAGTTGATTAGTGCCTGCATGTAAGAAGCCCAGCCAGAAAGCTGCTTTGCTCCTCTTCTCCTTCTTTTAAAAAGTTTTCTGTATTTATTTGAAAGTCACAGTTAAACAGAGAGGGAATAGATAAGGAGAGGGAGGGAGATTATCTATCAGCTGGTTCACTCCCCCAATGGCTGCAATGCCTGTGGCTGAGGCAAGACAAAGCCAGGAGCCAGGAGCTTTGTCCAGGTCTCGCATGTGAGTATCAGGGGCCCAAGTATTTGGGCCATTCTCCACTGACTGTCCCAAGCCATTAGCTCTAATCTCATGAAATAGTTACTTTATTCTCCGCCCCAAATCATATAGTCATTCTTCACTATTTCCCTTAGAGCCATATCTTGTTTGTTGGTGAATCCGGTTGGCTCTGATTTGCAGAGAAATTCATAATTTGACTACTACCACCTTGATAAGCTCAATACTAAGAACTGATTAAAGATACTATCACAGATACCATAACATTCTCCTCTGCTCTTCCCAGAGCTGGATTGAAAGTGTAGCGGCCAGAACATGAACCGATGACCACATGGGATGCCAGTGCCATAGGGCGGAGGACCAGTCCACAGTGCCACTGCACCAGCCCCGCTGCAATAACCTTATCTTAGGATCTCTGCTTTCTTCCTTTCATCCTTATAGCAAATAGGCCCAGAAAGCACGTAGAAATCAAGCCAGGTTTGCCCACTCCTCCATTAGATTCTCTTGTACTTCCCGTTTGAGTAATATAAAAATCCCATTGTAGCCTACAATACTCTACATCTATACCTTAGCTGCCTCTCTTTTCTCATCTCCAACAGGTCAGCTGGTCATTTTCACCACTGCATTCTCACTAGCCTTTGGCTACTCCTTGAAAATGTCCAAGGTGCTCTACCTTAGAGTCTTACATTTGCTGTACCTGTAACGTTCTTCCTCTACATTAGCAAATAATTTCTGCCTTGACCTCCTTCAGGTTTCTGTTCTCATTCAATCAGAAAAGGCTTCCCTTCCCATCCTATTATTTATTTACTTTATTTTTTTATTTCTCTTCCTAATTCTGATCATCACCTAGAATACTATACTTGCTCATCTGTTTATCATCTTTGTACCTAAACTAAAATATAAGATTCATGAGGCCAGACCTGTGCTTCATTCACTGCCCTCTCTTCAATGCCTGGCACATAAAAGGAATCCAATGAATACTTACTGAATAAATAGATGGATACACTGTCCATACTGCAAACTATATACTCAACAGATTTAATGACATTTTTTTGTTGCACTATGGGATTGTCAACTGTATGTATACTCATTAGTTATTAACTTCATTTCATTTACCTTCATGAATTCTGAATAGGAAAGCAACACAACATCAAGAAAATTAAACTGAAGGAAAATAAAATAATTTACTTCATATTATTGGTATCAAAGTCATGAAATTCTTCTGGCAATGTGATAGTACTGTAAGCTGCTTCAAAATTCTCTTTTGGAAGATCAACAAGTCCTGAAAAGAGTTTTTAAAAATCACATTCAGTAAGCAGTAACTCTATACAATATTTTAATGAACTCCCAACCAAATATTTTCTCTCACAGAACTTCTGCTTAGTCTCCTTAACTGATTTTCCTGTACCTACTCCTGCTCTTCTGCCGCTTGTTTTCTATAAAGCAGCCAGACATATTTTTAAAAAGCAAATAGATCAGATGATGCCCACACTTAAAATGCTTCAACAACTCCTCCAGTGCATTTAAATAGCATCCAAATTTCTAAGCAGAGCCTCTCCAATCCTACAAATGATCAGGTACCCTCATTCTCCCCAATATTTATTATACTTCAAACATATTTAGCCATTTTGTTCCCTAAAAATGTCAAGCAATTTTTCCCTTCAAGACCTTTGTTCTGGTAGTCTCATCTGTCTAGAGTATTGTTCCCCAGTATCTAACAAAATGTTTTGCACAAAGTAGATCAAGAAATATTTGTCAAATACAAGTGCTATAATAGATGAACAACTGAACCCTATTTGAAAGGGTATAATTCCACCTAGAGCTTTTGTAAGATTTTAAGTGAAGATAATTTTTTAAGACACATGTGAGTCCCAATTCAACAAATGTTGATTGGGGGAGTAGTATGCGTGGGACACTGAGACAGGTACCATAAGAGTTAGAAAATGAAGCTTCTGTCTCCAAGGAGCCTAAAGAGAAGTAACAAAGGAAAGACCTAGGCATGAATTACTCATAATACTAGGTGGGAGAGATAATGAATAGTTTGAAAGTGGAGCAGATGTTATGTAAATTAAATTTACAATGGATTATATTTATGACACGTATAAATCTCCAGCATTTTTAAATATCAAGGGATTTTTGATACTATTTTATAAATAGCATGTTGCTTAAAGCCTTGAGAATTATGAAAATGGTAACTATAGTTTTTACTATTTCTAATTTCTCTTATAAAGACAAAAACATACAACAAAATAGTTGACTCATTAAAATGAAGTAACATTTCTTATACAAATGTGATGTTAAATATATTTTTTTCATAAATAGATGGGAAGATTGTAAGTTTTGGAACACATAAGCTTTTCTGGCAAACACAGGAAAAGAGGAAGGAACGTAATATAATTTATCTCTAACCATGAAAAGAACATTCAGTCAAAACGAAGTTTATATTCATTATTCTCGCCTGAATATTAGAGCACTGTCAGTTAAAAGATCTCACCTAAATTACAAATACAGACAGGAACCAAATAAAATGAGGTAAATCAACATTGCATATATACCTGGGCGAAATGTCATTTTCATTTTAAGAAATGCTTCACTGCAATCTGCCAAAAGATACTTGGCCTTCCTATTATAGATCCGAACAACTCCCAAAAGAAGATGTCCTGAAGTTCGAAGTGCAATTTTCACCTTTCAATAATTTTTAAAATATCAGAATAATAAAAATTAGGTTCATGATGTTCTTTTAAAATTATTAAAATTATAAACATTTAGTTTCTTTTAAAAAGCAGGTATTTTCTATTCTTATTTAATCACTCAGCTTTTGCCTCACCTTGGAAAATGATTAATTTATTCAATGGAGATAATATGGCATTGAAGTTAAGTGTGCTATTGTTGGTATTATGGGAAGAATAGACTCAGACAGACCTGGGTCCAACTCTGAGGCTGAGTCACACTTAACCTTCCAGAATCTCGGTTAATAAAGACGGCTGTAATTTATTATATGCTTATTTTGTACCTGTCATTGTTCTAAGAGCTTTTAGTGTATTAAAATAATCTGATAACTGCCTCTGTTTACAGAAGAAAAAATGGACTCAGATACATTATGTAGTACACTAAATTAATAAAGTTTAAAAAAGAAAAAGCAAGGGTTAAACATCAAATTGACTGACTAAAAAATTCGTGCTAACTACCACACTTTGCTGAGGTTAAAAGAAGCCAATTTCATAGGATTGTTACAAAGATTAAATAAACTAAAAGGGGCAGGTGTTTGGCATAGTTTAGATGCCTATGATTTAGGATTCTACACCCATATTCAAGTGCCTAGGTTCAATCTTGGCTCTATTCCCTATTTCACTTATTCCTAACGCACACACTGAGAGATAGCCAAGTGATGGCTCAAGAACCTGGGTCCCTGCCACAAAAGTAGGAGATGAGAACTGAGTTCTAGATTCCTGGCTTTGCAGAGTTTAGCCTGTAGACATCTGGGGAGTAAACTAGAGGATGGGAAATCTCTCTCTCTCTCTCTCCTTTCCAGGTAAATAAATCCATAAGTTTTTAAAGCATTAAAAAAATTGACTAAAAAATCCACTTTCAATGGGGGGAGGGGAATGTCAGACTACACAAAATTATGCGATAAATTTCAAAAATAAAAATTAAAAAAGTCCATTCTAGTGCCTAACACCAACTAGCCTTTTAATGATATACCCTGTAAAAACTGAAAAAATTTTAAAGATTTATTTATTTTTATTGGAAAGTCAGAATTACAGTGAGAAGGAGAGACAGAAAGCCAGGAGCTTCTTCTGGGTCTCCCACATGGGTGTAGAATTGTAAAGGTTTTGGACCATCCTCCACTGCTTCCCCAGGACACAAGCAGGGAGCTAGATGGGAAGTGGAACAGCAGGGAAACAAACTGGTACTCAAATGGGATCCCAGGGCTTGAAGACGGAGAATTAGCCAATTGAGCCACTGTATCAGGCCTCCAAAGTTGAAATATTTTAACACAAAATATCCTAATGGCTGTCTTACAGTGAACATAGTACTTTAAATATTCATTTTGACTTATCATTAATCCTTTTTTCGCCTTCCCCTTTAAGTCATTCATTATATTCAATGCAATATTTATTAGGTATCTACTATATATTTTAAATTTTGTTAAGCAATAGAAAAGGATTACCAAGTATGCCTTTATCCTTCAGGGTTCAATCTATTCATGATAAATATCTGAAAAAGTTAATTACCAACAGAAACCAATACATAAACCTTTTTATAGTCAGACAAGTGTTACAGAAAGAGACCATTTGAGAAGTAAAACTTCCTGGGGGCGGGGGGAGCCAGCATGTAGTGTAATGGGTTAGTGTACCTGCAATGCTGGCATTCTAAATGCCATGCACTCACATGGGCATTCCTGATGAATTTCTTGGCTTCTAGATTTGGCCTGTCCCAGCCCCGGCCATTGTGGCTATTTGGGAGTGAACCAGTAGATGGAAGATTTCTCTCTCTCTTTCCCTCTCTCTACAACTCTGTCTTTCAAATAAATATAACAAATATTTTAAAAAAATACTTCCTTGAAAACATATTTTCATGTTACAAATACATTGTAATTCCTTTCTTCTCCAGAAGTCATTGCAAATACAAACTATCATCTTAATCAATAACTTACCTTGGGTGAAATAATTTTTTCAATGGTTATCTCCAGGTTACATTCAAATACTTGGGCCTTTGTGAGTTTTCTCTCCCAGTGAGCTGCAAGCCATATTTTGGCCAATGGCCCTCGCTTATTCATAAGCACGTGGGTGTAGAACATACTGCCTGTAGGGCCTAGCTGTATTTAACTAGAGAGAATGTGAAAAGATGTTTAGAATTTTATCACAAAAATAATTCAGTGACATTTTACAGTAAGTAAGACACTTTCAGTAATTCTATAAAATAACACTCAAATTATCTTCATATGTATCATTCAGTTCAAATTATTTTCTGGTGAAGAAGAGAAGATTATTTAGAATGTAAAATCATAAACTAGTGATAGAACTCTGGCAGACTGTAAACCAAACCTGACTTAAATACATCCTGCTCAATGATATCTTCTTGGAGTTTACTAATTTTGTCCTCCAAAGGGTTGGAGTGATTTTCTTATTAATATGGTCAAATAACGGAAGAAGGCTGAAAAGACAGGATATGGAAATAAAAAGAAGCAATACAGAGAAGAGCAAAACTAAGAGAAGATTATACAAGCCAAGTGTGTTTTGTATTTATCTGAAAGACACAGTGATAGAGAACTGGGGTGGAAAGGGGAAGAGAGAGAATCCTTTCTATCCCAAATTCACTGCCCAAATGCCTGTAACTGGGCCAGGAAAAGCTGAGAGCTGGGAAATCAACCCAGGTTTCCCACTCGGGTGGCAGAGACCCAAGTATTTGAGCCATCATCCGCTGCCTCCCAGGCTCTGCATTAGCAGAAAGCTAGAATTCAGGCGCATAGAAGTAGTTCTCAAACGCCCGCCCCTTTGAAGTTAAATAATAAAACCCCGTAGGGCAATAAGGTGGGCAAAAACGGACACAAGAACCAGCAGGATGTGTCAGCCAGTGGACCTCCTCCTTGGGTCTGCGAGAAGGACAGCATTTCAGAACTATTTTTCAAAGCCTCCTGGACAGAACCCTTGGAGCATGCTTCACATCAGGGACTTTGGGGCAGCGTCGGGTGGTGCTGGGGCGGTTGGGAGCTGGAGCTGGGTGTGGCTTCTCCCCTTGTCTGGCCCCTTTCCCTAGATATAGGAAGGAGAAATGGAAAATGTGGACATGATGGTCTCACTCACTTCCCCCTGATCCTGAACCCTATCCCAACCTAGTCAGCTATGTAAACATCATCAAAAAATACATAAATAAAATAGAGCCAGAGCCGGCAGGATAAGAATCAGAATACAGTGAGGAAGTAAAAAACCATAGATGTTTTGAAGTAAAATTGTTATAAAATCTTCACTTACGACACAAACCAAAAACTAATGCACATTTCTACAAATTGTCCCACCCTTGTTAATACTTTAAGGCTTTTGTTGTTGTTGTTTCAAAGCAAGATTTATTTGAAGAAAGTAGGAAAGTAGCCCCTGTCCTAGTGACGCGAGGGGTCTTCAAGAGAGAAGAGACTCCAGACCTCCTGCCATAGTGGCAGGAAGACGGAGGGAAAAACTAAGGCCCTATTTTGAAAGCCGGAAACGAGAAGGAATACTCGATCCCTTTCGTTGGCCCTTAGAGAAAAATCAAATCATTCATTTTAAGTAATTAACCAGAACCTGCCAAAACAGAAACTCCTGACTATTCCTACCTAAAGGTTTGAAAAAAAAAATAAGAAAACTGAGCCAAAACGAATGCCAAGAGTCCGCCACAGAACCAGAATCGCAGGTAAATTCACATCTGTGTCCATCTGTACCGCAAGATTCCAGCCCTAAAGGCTGCGACATCAGCCACAGTGTTCCAGGAGGCCGACGCGACAGCCCCAGCTGCGTTTTGTTCCCTTGTGGTTCACGTGTTTTGTTATTTTGGAATACATTCCCATTTATCTTTCTCAAAATTTCTCCCAGGACTGTCAAACATGCTTCACTAACGGGCGTTTAAAGACCCCTGGCGGTCGCGTCCGCTACCTCAGACACGTAGTCCTTGCCCCGCCCCGCCCCGAGCTGGGGGTGTTTCTGGGTTAAATTTACTCTGTGAAGTAAAGCTGCGGGGAGTGAACCGGACCAGAGACCAGCGGCGATGCGAGGGCCGGCGACCGGCGGCAGACCCCGGGTCGGCGCGTGGGGACAGGCGAGGAAAGGGGGGAAGGCGCTGCCAGGACTGGCACGGACAGGGTGGCTTCAGACAAACTGAGGCGAGAGGATCCCTGCTGCGAGCTGAGAGGATCTCCGCTGCGTGCAGGCGAGCACTTTGGGGTCGCGCTTCCAATCCCCTGAAGGGGAGCGGGCGGCGACATTTTTCCCTCAGGACGCGGCGTCGTGGGCTGAGGGGCGGCCGAGAAGCCGAGAGGGGAGCGTGTGTGGGGAAGTGGGTGGCCGCGGCCTCTATCACAGAGTCCACCTGTTTTCAGGAGGCGCCTTACTTTCAGTGCCCGGGCCTGAGACGAGGCGCGCCGGAGTAGGGTCTCAGAGAAGCAGCCGGTCCTCACCGTGGGTCCTCAACGCGGGTCTGAGGCAAATAGTTTCACGCGCAGCTGGTCTCCAGTCGGGGGCTGGGGGCGGGGCATGCGGCTGGACTGGGCGGGGCGAGGGGCGGGGCGCTCAGGGGGCGTGGCGAGACTTGCCGGGAGCAGGGGCAGTAGGTGAGAGGTGGGCGTGGCATGCGGCTGTGCTGGGCGGGGCGAGGGGGCGGGGCGCTCAGGGGCGGGGCGAGGGACACACCCACTGGTGAGAGGCGGGCCGGATGGAGAGCAGCGGCGAACCGGTCCTAACTGACTTTGCTATAGCGCTTTGGCAGGTCCCCTAGTTGTCACCTATCTAGAAATTTGACAGGGCCGCGGTTATTCCCTATGGTTCCATCCCTGTACTGCAGTCCACTCTTCTCTCTGGTACACTTTTAATTTAGTATCCTGAACCTCTGTTTTTCTCATCTGTAAAATGGAAATGATGATAAACGTATCTGCCTTTATCATGAAACAAAACATATAAAGACCCTAACTATAATAAGGGATCAGTGAGTAATAACTATTATTATTGTTACCACTTACAAGATCATTCACATTGGACCTTTAGGGACAGCAACCGTTTCTGGTCTGGACTCTCACAATTCATTCATTTGCTTGCTTCCTCTTTTTTTCTTTTAATAATAAATTCATTTTATTTTTGATGAGGTTGACATAGTTGAAAGGGATGCATGCCCATGTGAACCACCTGTTAGGGCAGGGGGGTCGAAGAATGGAGAAAGTGGATGAGACAACTGTTTCCAATCACCCTTTCCTTCCTGTATCTGGGGAAAGCAGAGAAAGGAGTGGAGGAAGCTGCTTCCAGCAGCCCGACGCATCAGCATCCAGGAATGGGGGATGGCCACCTGATGTCATCCTAGTGGCCCCGAAGCAGAGCATGTCCTGAGAGTACTGCTCAAGTGGTTTTGATAATTCTGAGATGTTGTTGATTTCATTGCTCCAAGGTGGAGGAAATCCTTCCGAAAGCCCACCTTAGAGTCTCAATTCACCCAGATGTCAAAGCTTGATAAGGAGAGCACTTGGGCCAACACTGCTTTCCCCAGGCTCACTGAAGATGGATTGGAGGGAGAGTAACTCAGGCTCAATTGATGTCTATATAGGATGCTGGTGTCACAAGCAACAACTTCATCCACTGTGCTCCATGGGATGTCACAGTTTTTAACAAAGCCAGTCACTAGAATCTGAGAAAAACCACACTAGGGCTTAAGGATCCAAGACTGGTGTGTTCACTTCAGCATCACAGTAAATGCTGATAAATCTTGGAGCAGCAGTGACCCAGGCTCCTTGTTGGGCATTTTCTTTTCTTTTTAAAGATATTTTTATTGGAAAGGCAGATTTTACAGAGAGGAGGTGAGACACAGAGAGAAAGATCTTCCATCTGCTGGTTCACTATTCAATGGCTGAAATGGCCAGAGCTGAGCCGATCCAAAGCCAGGAGCCAGGAGCTTCTTCTGGTTCTCCCACGTGGGCGCAGGATCCCAAGGCTTTGGATCATTCTCTACTGCCTCGTTCCAAGACCGCAGTCAGGAAGCTGGATGGAATGAGGAACAGTCAGGACACAAACCAGTACTCATGTGGGACCTTGGCACATACAAGGCAAGGATTTAGCCACTTAGCCATCACAACAGGCCCAATGGGCATTTTGATAGACTGTGTCATTTACTCTGTAAGCCACCCAACAAAATTGCTATTAATTTTCTTACTTTTAGCAACAGGAAATATCCCAGAGAAAAAGCATCTGTCTGAGATCATGGAGTTGAGAATGGTGGTGACAGTCCCACAGACGGTGGGGACACAGCCACCAGTCCAGAAGTCTGGGAGGCAAACTTGATGCTACCCTCATGTCCACTCTGATATCAGTCTACCCGCGAACCCATCACTCCACTTCACCCACCTTTCACCCTTTCTACTTATTCTGTCTTGATCTAGGTGATCCCTCTCCTGTCCAAGTTGTAACAGCTTCCACAGCCATCCCCTCCTATCCTTCACCTTCTTAGAATCCAACTTCCACATGGGTGCCAGAGTGGCCTTTGAAAAATATGAGTCAAATCTTTGTGCCCTTTGTCCCTCTTCCAGTCTTTGTTGCTCTGTTCTTGACAAAAACAATGGCTTGCTGGGCTTTCCATGTTATCCCAGCTTCATTACACACAGGTGCATTTACCTGGACCATGATGAATATTCAGTTTCAGGACCCTCACTTGCACGGGCCCTTTTGGCCGTGGGAGAAACACAGCAATGAGTTCACATGAGCATGGTTGTGGCTTTTTGTAGATGTTGCAAAAGTGGAATATTTAGCCATAATCCTTTAAGAATTTTTTCCACTCCAGCTGCATCTCTGATTTTCTAGGTTGATGGCAAGGGAGTAGCTGAGGGATGCACTGAAGGCAGAGGTGACGTCTTGTTTAGAGGGCTTTCTGCATAGGGGTCTCCCATAACTTTGGTATATAGTTAGGTCACAGATACCTGCCTCAGTGTGGGATCATCTTCCAGGAATTGAGCTTCTGATCATCAAACTGTGACATGATTAGGGCCCCTTACACTGTGTTACTGACAGCATCAGGACCATGTATCTAACCTGGAGAGAAAACAGGATTTGAAACATACAGAATCAGAAGCTA